ATATATAATAGGCGAAAAACTTTTTTAGTAAAAAAAAATCAGATAGATAGATAGATAGATAGATAATTTTGTGTATTTAGGAAGAAAATTCTCTTTTTTCGTATGTCTGAGTGAATAAATTACAGACATTATGTCTGCTAATTTTTAACAAAAACCGTTCAAACTCACAAATAACCTTCCGTGTATTGATATTAAAGGATGAGAGAAATGTGCGATAAATGTTTAAATTTCTTTTATTTTCATTTCCTGAGTACTTTCGATCTTCTTCCAAGATCATCTTCAGGGATGAACTATATGTTTGGTTACAAGTATTTATACAAAATTGTGTATTGTTATCCATTACCATAATTTTTTCATTATGCTTTTAAATGCAAAACAGTTGACAAATGACTGAGCTTTTATTAGAACTTGAAAAAAATTATCCATTATGGAATTTTTTTTTCGTCTATATTATAATGTCATGATTATGCTCGCATTAAATCGTGAAAAAACACATTGTCAACGTTTTGTATTTAAAAGCATAATGAAAAAAATTACGTGACGTCACACAAATGCCTATTACCTAGTCGACCTTTTCTAATAGACCCCAAAACATCTTTGTTATTATAAAACGCAGATTGTGTGTGTGTGTGTGTGTGTGTGTGTGTGTGTGTGTGTGTGTTTGTACGTTTATATATTGGAGCGGATTTCCTAAATTTTTCAACCGATTTCAACAAAACTTCACAGGACTGCGTAAAATTACCTTGCGGTAGTTCTGACAGCGCCAAAAACTGGAAAAACACAATTGTTCTTGCACGAAATCAATTTGAAAACACGATAAAACAGGATTCTGTCGCCAGAATGAAAGGTGGACAACTTATATCGAGTTATACTTATTATAAAACCCATGTTGTGTGTGTGTGTGTGTGTGTGTTCGTTTATATATGGGATCGGATTTCCTACATTTTTCAACTGATTTCAACAAAACTTCACTTTTTTTTGGCAGGTAGTGTTTCTTATTGTCTTGCACACTTTTTCTTTTATTTTTACATTCAGAATGCTTGAGAAATTCCATTTACAAGACAATAATTTATAATAAAATTCTATTCAATCGATAAACTCATAACGATTTAAAACAATGTTTTTGTTTGAGTTTGGGTTTGACCAATTCGTAAAAAAAACAAAAAAAACTAATTAAGACATGCGTGTCCGTCAACCTTAAACAATAATCTTTGTCAATTTTATTTTTCAGTCTTTATGATGGTCGATACTTGATCTATCTCTTACTGTTACATCCCCGGGCAACGCCGGGCTCTACTGCTAGTGTTGAATAATTCTCTTCTCTAGAAGGAAAGTGGCCCTACCTATGTCATCAGCTTCTCAGTGACATTTAAATAAAAAAAGATATCCTTATCGAATGCCATAAGGAAAGACGTGAACGACAGATAGCAACGTTGGCATCAAACAGAAAAAATAAGTTTAGAGATATGGGATGACAGAATAATAAATCAGTTTGGTCAGTTAGATACTAGAAAAAAAAGGGAATAGATAAGTTAAATATTAATATTTTAGAAGTATGCGAAACAAGATGGAGAACTATGGGGATTTGATCAATGACAAAGGCGGAGAAAAAAATGTGAAGGAGAGTACGACTTATACTAGACCAAGACATGAAGAGATGTGTTCTGAGATATTACCAACCGTCGTTCAATGGAAAGGGAAACCTTTTACTATATTCATCCTAGAGGTAGCTGCACCGACAGCGCAAAATACGGAAGAAGAAATTGAAAACTTTTACTGTACGCTAGACAGTATCACGATTCAATGCAAAACGCATGAAATTACAATTGTCATGGAAGAGCTGAATGAAAAAGTAAGCAAAGCGGGAGATGATGAAACAATTGGAAAATTTGGACGAGGAACTCGTAATGAACTGGTCCAATGATTATGTAATAGCTAACACCTCGTTTCAAGAACATCAGAAAGATATATGGAGATGGAGGGAACCAGGAGAAAAACGAAAGACCAAATCGACTACAGAACGGAATACCTGAAATACCAAACTGAGGAATATGCATTAAGAAACCTTTATCTTTCCCAAGAAGTCATAGCAATTCCCAGCCCAGATTTGAAAAAAAAGGGGGAATATGAGAAGAACTACGGCTTACCACGTTCTTAAGGAATATGGCATTAACAATGAAAGAAAGAGAAAGAGAACCAAGCTTGATAGAAAAGGCTCCAGTAGTGGTATTAATATGAAAGAAGAGGTAGGCAAAGTCGGTCAAGCGCCACGGCAAGGCTGAGGGAAAGCGTTACAGCAGGCAGGTAAAACAAGATTAGATTTAAGTCTCCAAATTCTAGAAAATAACGAAGTTGATTAAAGCATTGGTTCACTAATTTGGCGCCGAAGTAATTATTGTTCAATCTCTGGGTCAGATTTTACAAAGTGAAAAAATTGCTAGCAATAAATGTGCTCTTCTAAACAAGACGAGATATTCATAGACATGGACAGCGGAATTAGAAAAATCACTCCCCAGTAAATTAAATAAAGGTTTCAGCTTAAAATTTTGTAACGGTTACCATTCATGAAGAAGGCCGGAAAAGACAATGAACGGAACTTTTGTGATATTAACAACAAAGATGAGGACATTAGTCTGTCTAATCGGACTATAGTTTTTTTGTTGTTGTTTTTTTTTTAAATCTTATAATTATTAAAGCAATCTTCCCGAAAGTGTCTTTCATATTTTGCGTTTGTAATAATTCATATGCAGGTAAAGAGAAACAAAAGCTAAAAATAGCACTACATATGGACGAAGTTAGGGAATAAAATAAAAAAAGGACATTAAACTTTTCGTCAAATCTGAAGCTCACAGATGGAACTGTTTTCTTTCAAATCGGTACGTTGTATCTTTATTTGCAGCCGGCAAGGTAGTCTCCATTAGTGCTTATTTCTGGTTTTGTCATTCCATGTATTTTAAGATTTAAGACATTTTTTTTTAGTGTCTATCAATTGAATTTGCTTTCGTGCATTTATTGAGGCAATAAAACCGGATAAATAAACAATGCAATATTAAAAACAAGATAAGAGAAGAATTTCCCGGCTAAATCTAAAATTACCAATTCTCATATCTTCTTCGTGCTATGGAAGCCGTACGACGCATTACTATTTAGGACAGAAACAATGGCGGACTTATAAGTTATCAGGTTGATCAGATGTACCTCATAAAAAAAAAATCGAAGTAAGGAAGAGAAGGGAAGAAAATCAGAGAAAAGATAATAATGGGCGGGAAGAGAAGAAGGAAGGAAGAGAAGGAAAAAAATCGAAGAAATCAGAGAATAATAATGGGCAAGAAGGAAAAGAGAATCAGAAGGAAGATAATAATGGCGGGAAGAGAAGGGAAAGAAAAATCGAAGAGAATCAGAAGGAAGATAATAATGGGAAGAGAAGGAAAGAAAAAATCGAAGAGAATCAGAAGGAAGATAATAATGGGCGGGAAGAGAAGGGAAAGAAAATCGGAAAGAAAAATCGAAGAGAATCAAGAAATCAAGATAATAATGGAAGCGGGAAGAAAGAAAATCGAAGAGAAAAGAAAAATCGAAGAGAAGGAAAGAAAAATCAGAAATCAGAAAGATAATAATGGGCGGAGAAGGAAAGAAAATCGAAGAGAATCAGAAGAAAAATCGAAGGAGAAAATCGAAGAGAAGGAAGATAATAATGGGCGGGAAGAGAAGGGAAAGAAAAATCGAAGGAATCAGAAAAGAAAAAGAAGGGAAAGAAAAAATCGAAGAAATCAGAAGGAAGATAATAATGGCGAAGAGAATCGAAGAATCAGAAGAGAAGGGAAAAAAAAAAGAATCAGAAGGAAAGATAATAACGAAGAGAATCAGAAAAATCGAAGAGAATCAGAAGAGAAATAATGGGGGAAGAGAAGGGAAAGAAAAATCGAAGAAATCAGAAGGAAAAATCGAGAAGGGAAAGAAAAATCGAAGAGAATCAGAAGGAAGATAATAATGGGCGGGAAGAGAAGGGAAAGAAAAATCGAAGAGAATCAGAAGGAAGATAATAATGGGCGGGAAGAGAAGGGAAAGAAAAATCGAAGAGAATCAGAAGGAAGATAATAATGGGCGGGAAGAGAAGGGAAAGAAAAATCGAAGAGAATCAGAATCAGAAGAAGGGAAGATAATAATGGAAGAGAAGGAAAGAAAATCGGGAAGAGAAGGGAAAAAATCGAAGAGAAAGGAAGATAATCAAGAAGGAAAAGAAAAAATCGAAGAGAATAATAATAATGGGCGGAAGAGAAGGAAGAAAAATCGAAGAAAAATCGAGAAAAAATCAAGAAGGAAGAAAAATAAGAGAATCAGAAGGAAGATAATGGGCGGGAAGAGAAGGGAAAGAAAAATCGAAGAGAATCAGAAAATCGAAGAAGATAATAATGGGCGGGAAGAGAAGGAAAGAAAAATCGAAGAGAATCAGAAGGAAGATAATAATGGGCGGGAAGAGAGGGAAAGAAAATCGAAGAGAATCAATGGGCGGGAAGAGAAGGGAAAGAAAATCGAAGGAAAAGAAAAATCGAAGAGAATCAGAAGGAAGATAATAATGGGCGGGAAGAGAAGGGAAAGAAAATCGAAAGAATCAGAAAAGATAATCGGGAAGAGAAGGGAATCAAGAGAATCAGAAGGAAGATAATAATGAGAACGGGGAGAAGGAAAGAAAATCGAAGAGAATCAGAATAGGAAGAAATAATGGAAGAGAAGGAAAGAAAATCGAAGAGAATCAGAAGAAGATAATAATGGGAAGGGAAGAGGGAAGAAAAGAAAAAATCGAAGAAATCAGAAAAGATAATAATGGGCGGGAAGAGAAGGGAAAGAAAAATCGAAGAGAATCAGAAGGAAGATATCCGAAAAGGTAAAGAGAAAAGATGTATTAAAAGGGTAGAGAAATCTAGAAGAGGGGAGACGAAATAGAAGAAGTTAACGTCTTCGTCTTAAGAAGAGGACGGCGCACTTCCTGAGGGTAGTGGTTAATGGTAAGGAAGGAGAGACAAAGAAAGAATAGTATTAGAGGAATAAGACAATAGGAGGCGAAAAAGAGAAAAAGAAAAAAAGAAATATATAAATAGAAATATCTGAACAGAATGTGATAGATAGATAGATAGATAGATAGATAGATAGATAGATAGATATGAACAGGCTGCCATAAATATGATAAAGATATGAACATATACATATGAACAGAATGATATGAACATATAGATATGAATAGACAGAGAGACAGATAGATAGATAGATAAATAGATAGATAAACAGATAGATAGATAGATATGAACAGAATGAGATAGATCGATAAATAGAAAGATGTGAACAAATATGAACAGAATGATATGAACATACAAATATGAAGAGATAGATATTAACAGAATCTGATAGATAGATAGATAGATTGATAGATAGATAGATAGATAGAAAGTGGTGAGATAGATATAAACAGATACAAAGTCATGAACAAATAGATATGAACAGAATGATATGAACAGATAGATAGATAGATAGATAGATACATGTGAACGGATATGAACTGAATGATGTGGGCACATAGATATGAACAGATAGATATTAACAGAATCAGATAGATAGATAGATAGATAGATAGATGGATAGATAGATAGATAAGAGCAGTAGGCGGATAAAAATACTCTAAAATAGACTTTATCTAGAATTATCTTTAGCCAGTTGAACTGGTACATTTTTGTTGTGATCTTATAGTGGCCAAATATCTGCTAACCGGTTACCGCTCCTTGCTCTTCAGAAATCGAGGACAAAACAAGCAAATATGGGTACAACCTCTAAAAGAGGGAAATAAAGATGAGTCATCAGTACAAATCGCAAACAGATTACATGTACACGCAACAACAGAGGAAAGGCGGTTTAGGCTTAATATAAATAAACTCACGTAGTCTCAGGAGCTGATTACCGTGAAAAACGTTTCTTGTAAAAGACAAGGGACAAGTTGGAGTATTTATTAACTGTTCAGCAATCTCAGTTAGAGATGCATTAACAATCGCAGGCACATTTTCATACAATCCTCACTATATATATATATATATATATATATATATATATATATATATATATTACACAACAAAATTCAACATATTTCATATGGAGTAAAGTTGGATTTTGTTGCGTAATTTATATGCTCTGTTATAATAAATACATTGAGCCCTTTTTATGGATCATTTTTAATATTTGATATTACTATGATCCACTTGGATTATATACCAACGGATTTATTACCTGTAATATATATATGGCATATAGAATGCGATTACAACGTTAGTGTTCGTAAAGTAAGTAACGTCTTCGAATCTCGCCATTATCGATTTGAAATGGTGGTGACTTGATAATATTGGAAAGGTGATTCACTCCCAGCATGCATGTGGGAAAGTGACTGAAGACACTGCAACGAGTTGACCCAAGCCTTGTGAGTGAAATTTGTCAGATTGAACTGTTCGCAGGCGTCGGTAGCTGTGCTAGTACAAAGTCACAAGTCATCGTGAGATTTTGAGTCTTGCAGGCCTTCTTCAAAAATAATTGTTTATACCAGATCATGTGCTGCCAAGCCAAACTCGTTCAGCAGTACAAGCCACAGGTTGGCTCTGTATATGTTGAGGAAATACAAATGTTTCTGAGCAGGCGTTTGAAACTGAATGAGCTAACCAGCCGAGTGGTGGGGTACGCTCGAAAACAAGCTATTTTTATAATAGTAGTGTGGACTGAACATTTCATAAACTGATATGAAGGATTGATTCTAAAGTGGTGAAATCTTGTATGCATTAATTCCAAATCTTATTAATAACTGCATTGTTTCTTACCAGGTACGAGGATAGGCTGAAAAGTTCATTGGCTGAGTGTGACGGTTACTGCTAGAGCTGTGACACCTAGAATCCATTAATTACAACTCTATTAATAACCGCATTATTTCTTTTCGGGTACGAAGATGGGCTGAAAAGATCATAGGCTGACTATGAAGGAGTGATGCTGCAGCTGTGACATCTTGAATCCATTAATTTCAAATCTTCTTATTAATAAATGCATTGTTTCTTTCCAGGTACGAGGATAAGGTGAAAAGTTCATAGACGGACTGTGACGGGTGATGCTAGAGCTGTGACACTTAGAAACCAATTATTCCAACTGTTCTTAATAACCGCATTGTTTGTTTTCAGGTACGAGGGTGGGATGAAAAGATCATAGGCTGGCTATAAAGGAGTGATGTTAAATCTGTTCAATCTTGCATGCACTAATTTCAACTCTTCTTATAAATAACTGCATCGTTTCTTTCCAGGTAAACTGACATCTGACTGTTCAGAGAAGTCTTCAAATCTAACTAGTAGTAACTTCATTCATGCTGACATGGCTGCGACGTTAGCGGTTGACGCTCCAGATTTATTAACTGTGCAAACACTGCAAACAGGGCAGCTGAATTCATGATGCGAAAGATCTTAGAATATGACCCAAGGTCTGGTCGTACTGGAACTACAAGCACTGAGGAAAACATTGACCGTGTTCCCCACATGGAGATAGATGACTTGCAATTGACTATAATTCAAATAATAAATGCTATTAACATATAGCGTGAGAGAGTTCAGAATATTCTTCATAATGAAATTGGTTTCGCGCCTTCTGACACCTGATCAAAAGACCAACAGACTGATCACATCACGGGAAAATGTGACATTATTTGTGGTAGATCCATCTGGTTTCCTTGGACATTTCCTAATCCAGGATGATTGTTGTGTTAATCACCGAGACAATCCATGCAGTGGAAACACCCCACCTCACCTACTCCAACGAATGCCAAGGTAGTTTCATCTGCGGCGAAGGTGATGTCCTCAGTTTTTGGAATGCAAGTGGCATTGTGTTTATTGACTATCTTCAAAAGGACCACACCATCAATGGAGAGTACTATGCCAATTTTTTGGTCCAGTTATGAGAAGCTATCAAGACCAAACGTCCAAACGACAAGGAGTCTGGTTTCATCAGGACATTGCTCCAGAGAACACGCCCTTGGTTTCAATTTACTTCTGTGCATGACTGGTGGCTTTGAACCGGTTGACTATCATCTGTTCCCCAACATGAAAGTACACTGCTGCTGATGACTTGTTTTACAAACAGGATTAAGTCTTCTTTGAACAGTCAGACATCAGTTTGCCTGAAAAGAAACAATTAATAAGAGATGAATTCATACATATGCGATTTCACAGCTCTAGCATCACTCCCTCATAGTCAGCCTATGAACCTTTCAGTCCGGCCTCGTAATGTTTATGTCTTCATATAATAAACTTACTCATAGTCTATACACGTTTTTTGATTGCGTTTGAAAAATGATTATGGAGAAGATAAAAAAGTGAAAAGTAATGCATTTTTGACGGTAAAATCTGTAAGTCTAACCGCAAGTTGTTGGAAGTTAATTTCACTAGGTGATCAAAAATGTGCTCTTTGGCTGGATTTGGCATTCTCTAATAAATTTCCAGGTATGAAGAAGAATAATTTAATTATGTAAATTAAATTACCTGTACAAGATAAATTACCTGTACAAGATAAATTACCTGTACAAGATAAATACAAAAAACACAAAAATATTTGCCAAAATTAGCTTTCCATATAAGTGTTGTTACCCAGGGATGGTTACTGAATAGAATAAACACACGAAGGTTGGTAATGAACGATAATATTTAGGATAAGAACAACACATATAAGATTCAACAGCGGTGCATAGAAGTAGTAGTCAACTGCTACAAGTGAGTCAAGTGAATTCTACAACGAATCTCCAACTGCAGTATATCTAACAAAAGCGCCGCAAGCGATCCTATGTGGCAAAAGGCCGAATTTAATGTGGGGTATCCTGGCCCGTAGGCTCGGCCAAATTTTCCCCGTATAAAACGGGGTCGGGTAACTGTTAGCTTTTTTCCCGAGGCGAGACTGACCTTCGATATAGCCTCATCTGGGCATCCTCTCTGCTCAGAGGCAGAGAGTTTGACCAGCACAGCTGGAGACGAATCTCCAACTGCAGACCAACATACAGTATTTACTACTGTATTTATGTAAATGGGGACACACCAATTATCATCCGTAGGTATGCTACAACAGTAAGTCTAGGTCAAAAATCGGAGTAAATAATCATTGGTGCCTAGTACAAATGTCGTCACTTCCTACCTTATCAGCAGAGTCCCTTCAGAATGTGGCTCTCCATAACTTCCTTTTCTTGCCAAACTGTAATCAACGTTTGTCCCTTATTCCTCGCTCTGTCATTCCTTTAAACAACATCGTTAAATACGTTATTGTATGTTTCCCTCTGTTCCCCGTGCCATCAATATAAGCGTTAAATTCTCTAAGACTTCTTTCTTCAGTAAGTCTCCTACAAGTTTTCAGTGGTCTCTTTCTGCAACTAAGTAAAAATTCCTTTTCGTTCTCATCTTTCCTTAAAACGTTCTCGTTGTACGCATGTTCTTTTTTATGGTATTCTTAGCTTCCGCCTGATGAAACACACCACAGTACATCTGGTTTCCGCTTTATCCATTAGAGAATTGTTCAGTTCTGCCATAAAAGGGGGATTGATATTACGTCACCGTTGAGTACTCTTCTCTTGGTTTCAAGAAAAACTTTTCTCTTTCTTAATATTTAGTATTTTTTATAGGCGTTTAAATTTCTTGGACATCTTCCGTTATGTTTTCAAGCACACCCACTACTGAAAATTTCCCACGGGCCAGACTCATGTAGACGGCACTTTTATTTGGTAGAAAACAGAAAGAAGATGGAGAATATTTCATGTTGAATATTAAAATCGGTATTTGGAAATGTTTGGCCTATCTATAAAGTCAAATTTAGCTAAAAGACGGAAAACAAACAACCATTTCCTCTCCTATATATCTCCCCGTTCTAGCAGAAGCAGAAAAGTATGGCGAATATACTGTAGAGCGAAATTTCAACAGTACTAATGACATCCGACTCAGCTACACACCACAATACAGATCTTGCGTATTTAAATGAGTACATTAGGATGTGTGCGGTGAATGAGGAGACATATCTGTAACACAAGCTGCTAGAAATGATCACTGCTGAAACACTAATTGGTATTTGATGGAGAAAAGATTCAAGGTTTAAGGTTTTTTGTTTTTTCATTCTTTCAGCTTTGTGCCAGTTATGGTAATTTTTTCTCTTTATATATACATATATATATATATATATATATATATATATATATATATATGTGTGTGTGTGTGTGTGTGTGTGTGATTATTATTTTTATGATAAAAGATTTTGATAAAAACATGTTGAAATCGACAGACAAAAGCTTTCATGTTTCAACACTTTGTACTTCTTCAGACATTGGTAAGTAACTGGTGATAGAATGATTTTTGAGAAAATTTCCTTTAAATTTTAAGAAATTTCCTTAATAATCATTTAATCAGCAAATTTTAAATTAAATTTTAAGGAATAAATATAAATATATTGTTTTATTATGTATTGAGCACATTTTTAAAGCTAAATACTACGAACAATGGAATTTTACTCTATCTGTCCTTTCTCTTATTCGCACACACACACACACACACACACACACACACATATATATATATATATATAACTAGACTCGTTTCGAAAAACCCTCAAATTTTTGATTTGCTAATCAAATCAATCTCGAGGGAAAAAAAGGTTTTAAAAAAAGAAGGCGCTACAAACATAA